TTTTCATTTATTTAAATGGTCTCCTGAATATCAGCCGACTTTTTAGGATGCGCTGGAAGGGTTACCGTACCCTCTGTAAATATTGATTTAAAAAAATATATAATTAGGCCTAATATTATATATATAAACAATTATTATATAAATTATTATTAATTAAAACGTAACAGCAAAGGAATCTGTCAAAAAATGAAAAGATAAGTTCAACTACGAACTTTTCGCATACAAGGAAATACAAAAAAACTAATTTACTACAAAGGGCTGGGGTGAATCTGTATAGTGAAACTCCTTTCGTCCATTTGAAAGTATACGACGTCACAATATTGACAATGTACAGAACTAAAGTCGCATGGACTAAACGGTTATTGATCTATAAAATACACCATTTTCAGTGTAGTGTTTTCAGCAAGTTTGATCTCGAATGAGCTCAGGTACTTAAACAGTACTTAACTGTATGGCGCTATATATATATATATATATATATATATATATATATATATATAAAGGCCTATATATATATATAATTTAATTTAAATCGTCAAAGGTACATATACAGTGTTTAAATAAGGACATGATGGCTAACTCCCTTCAATATCATATATAGTCATAGACAGGGAGGAGGAAATATAAATGCGATTTGACTATTTAGCTATATGTCCGGATGAATGCTACTGTGGTCACCACCTATGGATGTATGCGACTCCAGCCAAATATTTTAATATGTCTCTTATTTTTGACAGAGGTGTTACATTTCATACACAGAAATACCAGTCAGCATGTTAACCTGGGCTGTGTCACACACCACGACGCCGACATAATATCAACACAAGTCATTCTGTTAACATTATTGTATTAGTCCCATTTTACATTAAACAAAATGCTTGGTCAGGTGTGTTTACCTAGAAACATCATGGAAGAGAAGCGATGCTATCTGATAAATTTACGCGCATACCTACGGGATGATTTGATTTTAAGGCGCCCCGGACCGCTCAAACACGACAAGGTTTGATCCCGCGATTCTATAAACACAGTAAACTGCTATACTTAATTCCATCACATGTCGTTAAGGTATACATATTAATTGTCGCAATCAATCCAACATTCCTACCACGTCTGCATTAGCTTGGGGAAATGAAATATATACGCCACCTAGCCTGGGAACCCGTAGAGTTGTTTAGCCGTCACTATTTACCTTAGACGGTTTGCTATTATATAGATTCATATGAGACGGATGTACTGATTTTAAAAATATAATATCACGCATTCAATTTAAGTTTCATCGCCCAAAATAAATTAGGAAAAACAACGAAATCTAAGTATTATTAATACATGCCTTCAATTATTTAATCCGCCCTCCCTCGTACTTGCACAGTTCGAACCAATTTACATATTTATTATATACTACGGTATTGTTTTTTTCTTCTATAAAACGAGTTTAGACCGTACATTACCATTAATCATGATAACATCCACTATAATAAGTTAATACGCATTGACGATAACAATACTCAGCCTAGATGTTCTTACATCTTTACCGGGGGATCAATAGAAAGCCAACGGCTAGTGAACTTATCAGTTAACGGAATAAAATCTAGGATTAATCTAGACAGCAAGACTGGGACATACATTATCAATTCACAGGTCACAGAGTTCGATGGTGATTATGGAATAATATAGAAGGACAGCTTATTATAGAATAAAATATTAAGCCTAATATATTACTGTTTAACAATATACAGTGGATTCCTCCAAGATTTAAAAAAAATCACGTAGTATACACGTTGAAGAATATGTTGCATATTTGCTGCGTAGCACCGTAACACAATCGTCGTTTTGAATCGACTTGAAAGAAGAGAATACGCTTCCAGGGAAAACAAAAGCCGGATAATTACATAGGCCTACCTGTAACCAGTGTACTATAGTGATTATCACGTGTGTTACAAAAGTACAACTACGTTCACAGCACGTTACCGCTTTGCGTCACCTATAATAGATTATGACAAGTTGTGGGGACATTTGTCGACACAATTTACGAGTATTTATCATAATAATAGCGATACTACACGAACAAGCCAATTTACCACAAGCGCATTAGCGGTATCATAGGCCTATGCATGCCTTTATATTATATAGATGTGTATAAGAGACAGGTGTATGTGTGTGGAGTTGAATAACTTAGTGGTTAAGATGCTTGCCATCTAATCCCAGGGTCCTGGGTTCAATTCCTGTGACAGCATGAAGACGAGATCTCCGAAGAGATACTATATTATAGGAAATGTAAAACGTGAAGAGATAAAACTCTAAGTCGTCTTGCAATAATGTTGGAAACAGTGGTCGAATAAAGAGCAACGGATGTTTCTTTATTTGAGCATTGTTTCTACGTTTATTTGATCATTTATAACACAATGCAGTGGTGTATCCAGGATTTTGAAAAAGGGGGTGTTGAATCCACACTGAACTTAAGGCGCAAAACTAGGCACGGGTTATATCGATGGTTGTGACTACACCATAAAAAAAAAAAGGCTGCTAACGTCTAAAGTACCTTACTAATTAATTTACTTAGGTTTGAAGAAAAGTGGGAGGGGGCGGGAGGGTGAGAACCCCTGGCAACTCCATTAGTGATGTGCGTAATCTAATTTTGTACTTGGGGCATTTCGTTTTAGACTCCTAGTTCTACTTGTAATCCACTGTTAAGCCTCGCGGTCATTATGGCAAACACCAAGCTGTATTATACATGGCTATATTGACAAATGACACAGTTACTAGAACCTGTACGCGCGAAAATTAATACACTAATCCTCCTACTGGCCGTTACAATTCTCGTTCGCAGCAAATTAACCGCTAACTAGATAGAGAGTCGTCATGCAAATGCGACTTGCAGTAATTGTATAGATTTTAAATTCTCCCGTTTTGTTCTCCAGCCAACAGCGTTATGTTGTTTGTGATCATATGCAGACCTAAGGACCACGGGAATAGGCCTACACTTAACAGAAGATAATGTACGTTCAATCACAGATACGTGATTCAATCAAACTTTCTCTACGATCATGCAATGGGGTGTGCATCAGCATCGATAAAAAGAACTTAACAAAATGTAGACAAAGATTTACTCAATTGTGCCTGTTTTAAGGACGGATTTTAAAACAATTATAAATCAATGAAAAAGCCTAATTTGAATATATCAGCAGTTATAGTGAAAACCAATAAAAAAAATAAATAAATCAAAATGGGGTAGGATGGGAAAGGAAACAGCCACCCGCACCCGCAAACTTTGAACAGTCTGTTTTTTTTTTGTTTTTTTTTTGTTTTTTTTCTTTTTGCACCTGACGTATGGTATCTATGGTATGATGGGAGGCTGTTGTTGTTTAATACCAACATTGATGCAGCCATCGTTGTTTAAAGTGGAATTCCCAATCGCATCCGAGAAAATTGAAGGTAAATGAAAAACTACAGGTGTATTACTAAACACTTTCGACGATTAATATCCGGTAGCCTTCCATCGGCATAATCGGCACAATGGCCATGAGACACTAATGGAACATTCCAATACCTGTACATATAAAGTACCTGTACATTTACATTAAAAAAAGTTCACTGAAAGCGAACTGAAAGGACGTCGGCAGACCGTAAATTGCATTCATTTGCCTCGGGCGTCCTCTATGAAATACATTTGTTTGTTATAGGCAACAGGTATAACTTTGTATATGTTAAATGACAAGGATAACAGTCACTCCTGTCTTTTGAAATCGCTAACATATACAGTAGTTCACCAGTCGCTCAAAATCGATTATAAACCGGATGAATTCCAACACATTACTGTTATAAATATCATAGGTAAATGGGATGGGCCGGAATCTCACTACATATTCTTCCAATGTACAATTTTTATGACATTTCATAAACATATACTGTACCGGAGTTGACTAATGAATGATATAAAATACAAAGTATCAAAAACTAATAGAAATAATGAAAATTATGTACAAATTGCAATAAAAATCAAGTATATTAAAATAACAGCGATAAAAATAACTATATATAATATAGAATTATGGCTATTTAATTATAAAAATCATATTAACAAAACAGTAGGCTTATAAGTTTTGGACCAAGATTTAACAATATTCCAAGCATTTTAAATTTATCAATCAAAGTCCATCGTCATTAATTGACTACACATTAAACACTATTCTAATACAATAAAATCAATAATGTTTCATATGCATTAATATTGGAAATTCATTAAAATCAAGTTACCGCTGAAATTATGACTAGCAAGTCTTGACCATTGATTACGGTACCGTACTATAAAATAATCAAAAACTATTTAAAAGATATTTATTTAAAACTATTAACGATAACATGGTTAAAATTATAAATTGAAATAGAAATTATGATACAAACGTAACCAGATTATAGCTGCAAAACGAGAATCGTTGCGCCCGCGGGCATAGGCAAAGGCCTATACAGAGTATTTTAAGGGCCCTACTTAAGTAGTAGTAGGCCTGGTGTCTCGGTTCAACCGGGTTTTTGGTGCAAAACCTGAGAGTTAGCGTCGCTGTTCAAAACCACTTACAGAACACCGGCGTACTGTGAATGCCTTATTTTTACAATGGCTGCATGCTGTTATATATTCCAACTTCGATATCTGCTCTAATACCGATCATACGGTACCATCGTATTTTTACTTACCTCATGTAGACCAATAAAATGACCCGACATTAACTATCTGAGCATTACCACACCTTGTAGACGTAAGTACATAATAAATACATAGTACAAACATGTACCCACTTGAAACGCCAGTTAAATAACGTATCCATATAGAAGTATGCAAATACCTGGCTAAATCGTGAGTGTTACTGTCGACTCGAGGTATACACAACTTATATAGGCCTACAACAGTCAGCATACACATTCAACAATCTGTAGTACCGACGTATCATAAGGTAAGCCAACCCCTACCGGTTAGTCCAAACCTTTTTTATATCCAAAATACATACCTGATTCTTTCCCCATGGTGGTATTGCTGCACAGCTAATTACTAGAAGAATGTCCAAAAATAACAACGTACTAAAAGCAGGCGATACAAGCCGGCACATTCTGTCCACACAAATAGTCTATAATTGCAAAAAAAAAATAAAACTTTATAATCCTTCAAGGGGTTACTATTCCAATTACTGTTTGTTCAGAGGCTATGAGATCCTTCTAAGCACTTGTTCGACGCACCTGTGTACAGCAACTCCCTTCAAACAGAACTAATTTCAATAAACAAGAAGTTCTAAATAAATGATCACTGACTGCCCTCAACGGCAGCCGAACCCACGTCCTTTGAATAACGCTCGTCTATTAGCCAACATAATCACCAGTGATTTTTTGTTAATCATTTGACTACTGTTTCCCAGTTATAACGTCCATTACATAGTTTTTATTGTTTCAATCTATTAATCATACTGACTAGTGGTTGTCCTAATATGGTCATAGAGGTAGGCCTATATGTCCTATATTATGTTTACCGTTGCATCCTACTCAATAGACCAAGAAGCCAATCAGCATCCACAGGAGGTTGACCAAAACCAAAAAGTGGTACGTCAACGTCTCCTCCCTCGTTAACGATATGTAATTAATCTTCATTCCAGAGTTTCTAAGTAATGTCTTGTTTTTTTCAGCTATGGATATTATGAATCATGTATGCCTACACAGACTGATTCAGAAATGTGTTTGTTTATTAATAATACTTAACCTAATAAATACTTTTAATATTGTATTTAATTTTCTTTCCCATGATTTGTGTATCTGAAAGTTTTATACTCTATATCTACTTGAAACTGACGAAAATATATTAAATAAAAAAGCCATTAGCCGCATTGTTTAATACGTTTAATAGTCCTAACGTTCAAATTATCCATCACCCGTATGTAGGCAGACTTCTTTACAATGGGCCATAACTATTGCTATTAATTTTGTTAATTAAAATGAATGTCAGAAATTAGAAATTCATTTAATCGTGAACTTTAATCTTAAACTTTTACTTACTTTGAATATTCAAATTTAGACGCTCTGTCACATTTTTATTATGTTATGGACATACCTGTGGTCGCCCATCAGACGGGTGTGATATGACATCATCATGTCTATATATGGTAAGTCACTGGTCACATATTTGGTAATATACACAAAGCCACCTCTTTGGTTTTTTTTTCTTAAAATGTAAACCTACCTAATTGTAAGACGAGGTTTACATCAGAAGTCGTGATAAGATATCGATAGCTCAAAATACCAGCACCATTATTTCCCCCAATACCGGGCATTTTAAGTTGACTTTCTCCGTCAATATATCACCTCTTTATGTATCGTCCATGAATGAAGTCTTCAGCGCGTTCAGAAGCCGGAAGGTTTCACTTAATTTGTTTGGTTTGATTGTTCAGAAGGTACTTAAAATACAGGAAAGCAGATGGCCAACACTGACCAAGATGGGACAGGGTCAAGAATGATAAGCATTTTGAAGTAGGCCTATTTAAATGTTATGAATTGTTTGTTAATAGACAAAAGACAATAATTAAAATCCTGCGTACTTTGATTTAGATCTGATAGCATACCAAGGAAGGGGATAGAACCATGGAGGAAAAAGAACTTAATCTCTAGGAGGGAAAATGTTTTCGTATGTGAAATCAACACATATGAACAATATTGAAATACATCTTACTGATCCTAATGCATAACAAGCCTTTAAAAAAATCAGTTCAGTAGTTATTGCAACTTTATTTTAATATATTTTCGTCCTTCAGTAGAACCAGAGCTTTCCGACTAAATACTCCTGCCCCAGTGGTATGATTTGATTATTCATTGATTTTTCAGCTATATTATTTTATCTGGTAATGTTCATTTTTCAAGCTATTCTCCCCCACCCCGCGAAACATTTGACCCTCTGTACTGTACATTTATATTGAGAGCCGGTCATTTAATACATTGTTCTCTGCCTGGATACCAAAAAAAAAAAAAAACTGAGATTAAAACATGCATTAACTACAGTATTGGACCATGCAGGTATAATTGGACGATGATTGAGCCGGAATAGTTTCGATTATATCGGTGAACGGGTGAACCCACTGGTACCGTACATCTGAAATAGAACAAATCTCATTAATTATCGAATATCTTTATTTATTCTCATTAAATATCGTCACGACCAGAAGTCAGAATTAAATTTTGATTCAAAATCAATCTGTCGTGTATCAATATTAAGTTAAATTACATGTAACAACTTTATAATGTAAATTTTGCCTTTAGGCTACAACAGAAGGTAAACGTTCGGCTTCTCGACATAAGGTGTTTGCTAAAAAAAGACCGGAAGCAGCAAACAGTAGCCTTAACTCATCTGAAGTCAAACACTTCTATTTTTAAGATTGGCTAACTAAGGTCGGGTCCTTTGTTGTAAGGGCCCCGGAGAGAATTAGGAAAGGAACGAAATTTCACACGATAATTAAGTAGGCCTAATCATTATGTGAGTTCAAGAATGTTTTGCAGATCAGAATCTCTATGTTAAAATTCACACTCCAATATGGAAAAGTTGGCGGTAAATGTATGGTAATATCAATTTTGTTTTATTTCATCTTTTTTACCACGACAGTTTGGATTTTACGTTCGTCGACTAAATATAGGCCTTCGGTGCATTTCAAAAGCTCATAATATCATATAATGAAGGATATACTGTATAAAATTAGATAACATAGCAGAAGTCTATGACGTTTGGAAAGTACGGTGCATTTTCTTTTCATAAGAACACATTTTATAAGAACACTGAGGCTGAAATCGCTAAAAAATTAAGAACAAAATAAGAACAAATTGACGACGCTGAGATAAAATGTCAAATGAGGTTTTTATTTAAAAAAAATGGAAAACCAACAAATCTATCTGTACCTTATTTGCTGTAGGTGTGACTATGTAATAACTTCTATAATTAGTAAAGTAATATACTAAATGTAAAATATTAATTTTTCATTTTTGAAAAATGTGTAGTAATAAGGACAAAATAAGAACATTCTGATCTTCAAATCGGCCAAAAAATAAGAACACTGAGCCTGGACAAAATTTTACTGGTTCTTATAAAAAAAAGTGTAGTCATAAAATATAGTAAATCTGATTATCATAGCCTACAGTATGTCAAAAATTAGGATATACCGTCAGTTGTGTGCTTATAAACTTTTAATATAAAATTATAATAACTGAATTGCTCAAGAATGCTAAACTAGGCATATCATTTTTAAGTATTGAAAAATTAGACAAATGAAATATTTTTCTTGCCAGTTATTAGACGTATAAATAATACCGATACGAGGCCTATACTCTTTTGAATAAACCTTTCATTGGGGTGGTAATAAGTTTAACTGTTGTTGTAGGCCTTATAGTGTAAACCCATGTGTCTAAGTATTGCTCATTGTCGATACCGTATTTCAACAATAAGATTATAGATAGAAGATGATTCACTTAAACAGTACATTAAACAGTGGCGGATCCCTGACTTCGAAATAGATGAAGCCCAGAAAGTCGATTTTACAAAGTGTTTCAGACCACCTCAGTCACACCATGGTTGTGGATGAGGTACGGCATCGTCTATATCAGTGGTTCCCATCCTTTTTTGCGTTCGCGGACCCTCCTTGACCCCCATGTCCAAATATTACTTATTGTCCATATTCCAACAATAAGATTAGGCCTACAGATAGAAGATGATTAGCAACGAAAATACAATACAAACAATAAACAGTGACGAATTCGAAATAGAAACCACAAAATTTGTTTATGTCTAATGCTTCTTCTATAGATGGCAGGAAATGGTACTGTCAGACACAACATTTGAACGTAATTTTTTAAAAATTTCAATCCCCCATTTAATTTTTAATGTGCAAAATTTAGGGCGACTCACCGTTGATATTTCTCCAATAAGATTATTGATAGAAGACATCTTGGATATCAAAATTTGAATGTAATATTCTGTAATCCCCATTTACTTTTGATTTTGTCAAATTTATGGCTCCCTCCTGATTTTAAAAATGTATTTATTCAATATCCAGGTAAAAGCAATACAAGAGAAAACATGGAAGGAAGATGTACATTACCTGAGGATTGCCACTGTCAAGTGGCTCTCCTACTAAACATCTTTACATAGAGAATACACAAAAAACTACTTTGAATATTCTATCAGATTACTAATAAAATATTGTAATTGAAATATAATGCCAAGTAAAACAATGCGGACCTTTTAGACTTTGTGAACCCCCCAATTATTTTTGGACACTAGGTTGGAAACCACTGCTGTAGATCACCTTCGCAACAATGTTGATGCAACCAAAACCGAGTGGTTGTTGCACAAACACAAAACAGTGAGACACGTCCATCTTCAGTTAAACAAAATTATACAGAATTTCAACAAAATTATACAGAATTTCAACAAAATTATAGACGTGTTGAAATTTTGTGTAATTCAGAATGGCTACGCGGTACTGGTGTCACCTGATGGAATAATCTGTCTGACTGCCGATTAGACGATGATTTCCGAAATACACCGATGACTAGTCAGCTCTTTACTGGCCTACGCATGTCTGTTGTATCTTTATTTTCAAAAGCGTTCCTATATTTGTTGGATATGTGTTTAAAAGATAAACTGAACAACGAGAGTTATATTTATTATTAGAATTTGGTGAATGAGACTACAAAGTCTGATGACTGCGACAGGTGGAAATTGGTGAAATAGTGTAGGCCTAGTAAGCAAATAAAAAGGTGAATTTTATACCATAGCCTTTACTAGAACCCACCTCTGCCCTGTCCACTAAATGTTATGATAGATAATGTTAATGAGGATCTTTATTAGGCCTAGGTCTACATACATACCAACGGCCTTGCTCTGCTCTGCGTTTCCCGTTTAACGTTCGTAGGGAAATAACATTTCTTATCTCCACCGTAAATATCGGTCACTAAGACTGCAGATCGATCCTTTAATATTGCTAGGTTGAAGTTCGACAAGAAATTTACCCATGACTAAGTCCATTTTAATCACCGATTGTCAAATGCAAAATATTTTTAATTGCTCAAAATATCCAGGCCTAAATTCTGTTTTGCCCCAAACCTGACATTGGCCTCTAAACCTATCGTATCTTTTTATATCATTTTGGTGACGTTCGTATTCCGTTATCCGATGACAGAAACTCATATTTTATAGCACAATACAATTTAAGATACCGCAGACATACGTCACT